CTGGGCACACACCCAAGCATGGCGGTTTAAAATCTGGAGGGATAGCTTGACTGTGGAGGTTTTACTGAGGAGCGAGGGGTCCCAGCCCCACACCAAGGCCCCCAGCCAACGGTTCCAGTGTTGGGAAGAGAAGTCCCCACAACTTCTGAACTTCTGGCTGTGAAAACCAGCAGCGATTGTGGCTGAGTGGCACAGAGACTGCTGGAGCCCTAGGCAGCACCTCTTGAAGGGCCCACACACCATCTCACTCCCTCTGAGCTCTACCACTGAGGAAGCAGCTTGAAAGGAACCTGGGACATCTGGGGAGGAACTAACTTGTCTGGAACCAGGATGAGAGCTATAAGGGAAGCTTTCTCCCAGACAGAAGTGCTGGCAGAGACCATTGTTCCTTTGCTGAGCCCTCCCCATCACAGAGGCAACAGGCATTGCCATATATGAATCTTCATCAAACTGGCTCATACTTTTCACCCCACCCTGGTGAATCCCTGAAACCCTGTCCCTCCCTACTTGCAGGCTCAACCAAGCCATTTCCAGTGTCTTTTCCATAAAACCTGTCTCTCTTGCCTCATGCTTCAGACTTTCCTAAAATCTCTCAAACAAGCAGGAGCCAGCTCCAGCATGCCCCATACCTCTCAATAAGTGGCCCCAGGCCCAGCACTATTGGCAGCCCGCTTTGGTTCACAGTTTGGCCTCTCCTGGGCACCCCCAAGCCCAACACAAGTATCAGCCATCTGCAGATTGCTTTGTAGCTCCTACTAGGTGTCCCTGGGCAAGGCAACGGGAGTGACTGACTTTGCACCCCCCAGGAGACTCCAGAGTCAGTGCACCTGGTGGTCAGCTTTGACCATGCCAGATTACAACCTACCACCTCCATGAGTGACACACTCAAGAGGCGAACCCAGTGAGCACCAAAGCTCCACTCAAGCAAGTCTTACTCCATAGGGTCAGCTCCTGCACAGCAGCAGCTCTTCTGCTATAGTTGTGGGCGATCCTTGTAACCTGAGGGTCAATCCCTCCTAGTGGTGACAATATCAAACAAGGCTCAACTTTAATAAGACAGTGCACACAGCTCACACAGGGGCGCACCTGGAGCACCCAGCTCAGACGACTGAGGAGGCTGAGCCCCTGGGCCCTATAGGATACTTTCTACACAAGGCCACTCTGCCAAGTCCAGGAGACATAGCAGACACCTAACACATAGAAACAAACACAGGGAAGCAGCCAAGAGGAAGGGGAAGAGGAGAAGACATAAAAAGTATGAACAATAAAATGGCAATAAATACATATCTATCAACAATTGAATCTAAAAATCAAAATAAATAAACAAGCACAACGGAATCAGACTCATAGATCAGAGAACATTTTGACATTTTCCAGATGGGAGGGGGCGTTGAGAGGATGGGTGGAAAAGGAGAAGGGATTTAGAAGTACAAATTAGTCATAGCCCATGGACACAGACAATAGACAGGTGAAGGCCTGGGATGGGTGAAAGATAAGTGCAGGGGGCAAGGGAGAAAAATGGGGGACACCTGTAATACTCTCAACAATAAAATAAGATTTTAAAAATATCAATGAAATTTAACACATTATATGAATAATAAACAAAAAATACAAATAACTAAAATTAATTCATGAACAAATATCAAACCCAAATATAACACTAATCATTAAAGGAATTAAGTTGGCAATCAAAATTTTCCCTACACAACAACAAAAGACAAGAAATACTCAAAATTTTATAGATGAGTTTTATAAAGCCTTCAAGGATTTCCCCTTTTTACTGAAAATATTTTAAGGAAACACAAAGATGAAAGAAAACATACTATTGATGCCAAGATAAGATGTCTGGAATGGGCAAATCTATATGGCCAAAAGAAAGATTAGTGATTGTGTAGGGGGAGGTTTTGGAGTGTTACTGCCTATAGTTATGGGGATGATAAAAATTATTTGGGATTGGTTTGTGGTGATGTTTGCACACTCTGTGAATGTGCTAGAGACCATGGCATTGGATTGAATAGATGAACTCTGTGATGTGTGAAACATAATTTCATTAAAGCTGTTAAAAAGAAAACATCAGATGAATGCAAGAAAAAAAATTATACTATCTCACTTATGAACATAACTAGGAAATTCTTAAGTTAAATACTGATGAAAGTTAATTCAATCTTTACTATTCTAAGTAGCATTATTTCAAGAATGCAACAATTCTTCCAACATCAGATAACCTATTATAACAATTTATTATTAAAAAATCAAATAATAAAAACCATATGACAATTTTGATGAATTTATTTTTTTATTAAACAGGTATTTATTCCATGCTTAATATGTGACAGACACTATACATTAGTAAACAAAAGAGAAAAAGTCCTGGTACTCAATAGAAATAAAAAAACACATATGACCCCAGCTGGTGTCACTCCGTGGTTGAGTGTCTACCCATGAACTAGGAGGTCCCGGTTCATTCCCAGTCAGGGCACATGCCCAGTTTGCAGACTCAATCCTCAGTAGAGGGTGTGCAGGAGGCAGCCAATCAATTATTCTCTCTCATCATTGATGTTTCTCTATCTCCCTCACCCTTCCCCTCTGAAATCAATAAAAAATATATTCTAAAAAAATAAAAACAACACATTTGATAAAATTTTACATCAATTCTCAGCAAAATATGGTTAAAAGAGATCTCGTGTACTAAGTCAACAATATTGATCAAAACAATATTATCCTTAATGCTGAAACATGAGCAGCTTTCTCACTGATCCCAATAAAAAAGATGTCTATATTAGAGACTGATGTCCAACAAATTAACTTTAAAATATGAAACATAAAAATTGCAATGAAAAAAATAAATTATTTCCTTTATTTAAGATGAAATAATGAAAATATACTTTAAGATAAAAAATTAAAATGTAGTTTCCCTTTATTTATGATGAAATAATTAAAACCCCAATAGTATCTTAAGCCATTAGAACTAGGAAAATAGTTCAACAAACTTGACAGGTACAAGGTCAGTGTACAAATCACCAAGCAATCCTACATACTAGAAATAATGAAGTAATAAATGTAGTTGAATTTTTAATTCATAATGAAAACAAAAACTAGAATGTATTTGGTAATATAGCTAACAAAAGTAGTGTGTGACCTTTATCAAAATAAAATTCACCAGTGGCAACAGCAGAACATCCTTCATGCACAAAAATCTTGTTGAGCCTTTGCATAACCACCACCTTGCCCAGCCATGACCAAACTGTGAGTCCATGGCCCAGAACTAGGCTCACAAGAAGGAAGAGATTTGCATTCACATAGTAGACTATTCTACTCATATAATTATTTCAAACTGCTTTGGCAGTGAGGTCCCTCTGGTGAGACTCAAACTTACATATATTCTCATTTCTTTGCCCATAATTGACACATTCAAAATTTACTTATTGTGCAGCAAGCATATTTAAAAATTTTTTAATATTCTTAAAAATGTAGTGCAGATACCAAAAACTGTCCGTGATCTCTTTGAGTTTATATTCTCTGCAGCTGGAGAGTGCAAATTGAAGGGGACAATGACAGTTGATAGTTGTAAATAAGCAAAAACCAAAGGTAATTTCAAAAAGAAATAATTAATTTTTTACCACAATTTTAATCCACATATCTCTCACAAATCTCCTTCTCACTAATTCTGCAACTGAGTTTCATGATCTAAGGGACCTCTGCTGAAATTCTGTTGGTTTCTTTCTGAAGTTGCCACAGGCCTAGTGCAGCATTTGCTCTGCTACTGATGCTCTCGTGTTCTGCCATTTCTACAGCATCACTGGGATGAGGGCCAGGGCTACCTGTCTAGCAGTGCACACGAGCTGGGGAATCTTCTTTTATCATGGGGCCCCCTCACAGGATTTTTGGCTATTAGGTAAATGGTTTGAAGAGGATAAACAAATGTGCTATGTGTGGTCTTTATAGGACATGCATAGGTCCAACAAACAATTTCAAATTTCTCCATTGTCCTTGGATACCTGCAGGTATATGTCTATACCTGCAATTCCATGGTGGCACCAATATATGTCTTTTAGGTCATTTCCTTGCAAATGACAGAATACAATTCTGACTTACTTAAACAACGTAAATTAAGACAACAACAATAACTAAAGAGGGAATTCATGAATTTGGTCTGGGGTAGCTCACAGCATCCAGGGGAGAGTCAGTGTGGCAAGGTGGTAAAAACATAGACTTAGGGGTAAGTCCATTTGGTTCCAAATTCCATCCCCACCACTTACCTCTCTGAGGCAGTTTCCTCCCTCTTCTTAAAATAACAATAACTAAAGCATTTCCCTAAAGCACTTGTGGTTAAATACACATTATGTATATAAAATGCTTGGCACAGCCCCTGACATCATGCAAATATCTGATCATGTGTTCTTATTATAATTCATGTTTATGAATCTGCCTTGAAAAGGAAGAATCTAGGATAACACCAGTGATCTTATCAGTGGGCCATTGGGATTGGCTGTCAGAGTACTGCAAACAGAATGGCTGTCATCTGCCTCTCTCTCCTCATCTGAATCTCTCCTCATTAAAATTCCTACAGAGTGAATGGTCTGACATTGACCACGTACTCATTCCTGTACCAAACACTGTGCCAGGAAGAATGAATGAATAATGAGCAGGGACGGCGAGAATTTGGGGTCACCATAATTAACAGAACCTATGATTAGAAGTCTCTATGGAACTATATTGAGCAAGTGGAATTTAACTGCTAGAAGCAGGGCAAAGATAGACGAAGTGTAACAGAAATGTGTACCATACTGTGTGTAATAAATTAAATATTTTTCTAGGAAAAATACCTAGGACGACTTTTCTCTGACTCAGGCTTAACTGGTAACATTCTAAGAAATTTAACTCCATCTCTGCTTAAGTGTTCTTAAGAAAAGCTGTAGGGCACCTTGCAGATCCTGATATCAGAGAATTCTCCTGAATATCCAGGCACTACTTACTGGAGTTCTACCCAGAATCCTCATCATTCTGATGTTATTATTTGAAGCACCAGAAATATTTTCTCAACATCCTTTTCACAGCAGCCTTCATCTCCTTGTTCTTCAGGCTGTAGATGAGGGGATTCAGCATAGGGGTGATCACACTGTACTGCAAGGAGAAGATTAACTCTCGAATGGATCCAGAATTTGGCATGAGATAACGGAGAAGTCCCGAACCATAAAAGAAGATCACTGCAGTGAGGTGGGAGGAGCAGGTAGAGAAGGCCTTGCTTCTGCCTGTGGAGGAGCTGATGCGCAGGATGGTGGACAAAATGCGAACATAGGAGAAAAATATCAGGAGAAAATTTCCAAAGAAATGCAGGAGGCTAGAGCAGAGCAGGGCAGTAAAACTTGCAGTCACATCAGAGCAGGACAGGGGGTAAAGAGAGGGCAGCTCACAGCAGAAGTGATGGATATCTTGAGCCTCACAGAAGTCTAAATTGAGAGCTACAAGGATATTGATAAGAGCATCCAGAAAAGCAAAACTCCATGAGGCCCACACCAGCCCCATCAGCTGTCTAGAAAAGCAAAACTCCATGAGGCCCACACCAACCCCATACACAGCTGTCTGTTCATCACCTGGGCATAGAGCAGAGGAGAACTGATGGCAACATAGCGGTCATATGCCATCACAGCCAGTAGGCAGGATTCAGTGCCCCCGGAGGCAAACAGAAAGAAGACCTGAGCCAGGCAGCCCTCTACTGAGACAGTTTTCTTCTCAGACAGCAGATTCTCCAGCAGCTTGGGCACAGTGACAGAGGAGTGGCAGAGATCGAGGAAGGACAACTGCCTCAGGAAAAAGTACATGGGGATGTGAAGATGGGGATCAAACCCGATCACCAGCAGCAGCATCAGATTCCCCATCAGGGTCAGGAGGTAAATAACAAGGAACAGCACAAAGAGCAGAGGCTGGATCTGGGGATCCACAGACAGCCCGAGGAGGATGAACTCAGAGATAACACTGTGGTTCCTCATTGCCTTCAGTATGTTCTTGGGAATGTCAGAAATAAACTGGGTGAAGCCTCTTCTAATGTCTGATATCTCAGTGTTTTCACCCTATTCTCCATTCACAAAGTTTCATGCCCATTCAAAAATGTATTTCTGAAATGGTCTCTAGATTTCCTAAAACATGTAATAACCTTTTCTACAGAATCTCAACACTAGATCAACTCACAGTCCACATTTATTGTTCTTTCTGTAATGTCTTAAAGTTAATTTGTTGTTGATTTATTATTCAATCTACAGAAGGATGTTTGTAAATGGTTGATAATAATCCAGTAGAAAGAGAGAGATTCCAGGAGGAATGAAATACAATTGCAGAAATGGTGTCTCTGAGAGCAGCTGGGTTTCACAGCAGAAGCAGAGCATGGATGGCCTTAGGTGAGAATGGGTTTTCTTCATTCACAAAACACCCATGAAGTCAGTAGATTTGGTGTTAGGAAGGAAGCACTTCTCATCTGATGGCTTTTGTTATTCACTAAGTATTTAAATGAGATCATTAATGGAAAGTGAAGAGGGGTAGTGGCTGGACATGTGCCCAGTGAGGAGAAAGGGAGTTAATTAGAGACAAAGCACAGAGATATCCCAGATACTGTGTAATTTATCACAAGAAACTGTTGACTGATATGAAAACATACTCTGGTCATAATCTCCATGCCCAGTTTGTGTGATCTATTCAGAGTCAGCTCTTGTCAAGCCTTCATGCCACTTGTAAATATAGACTACCCTCTAACTTTCAAAAGCTTGACCCTTTTTTCCAACTGTGATCCAAGAACCCAGATTACAACCATCAGCTCAGGATAACCCTTCAACACTATTAACCACACCATCTTGACCTTCATGTCCTGCTCTATCTCTTGTGTTCATACTACAAGACCAGCACATTCAATTTCTCAAAAGCCCTGCTTTCTCCCCCACTGTTTATCCAAACAACACACAGGCCTAAAGCTACTCTTAGGAATCAATTCCACATTACCTGCATTTCTCGCCTCACTGAGCAATAACTAACACTGAGTTAAAGAAAAACCTTTGAAAATCCAGTAGCCCAGAAGAGGAATAAGTTTAAATATCAGTGTGAGAATTTGGTATTAAGGTGAAGTTTAAAAATTCCTGTTGATATAGATCTCCTCCTTGATTTCTAAAAGAGGAAAATACATGGGTAAATTGTAAAAACCTAAATACTTCCAGTCATGTGGGGATTGCATTTGCTCTTGTTATTATTTTACTTTTTTCTTTTACTCACCACTCAAGTTCTAGCTATAGAGACTGGATTCATCCGGAGAACAGTACACCAGTGGCAGAAGATGCTGGAAAAGCAAGGAATCAAACCATGAAATTCAGACAGACAACCACCCATTATCATTTCGGAGGGCAGCAGAAAGAAAGCTCCCCTCTGTTCTACTCATCTCCAAATGGAGCCCCACTACTAGCACTAGAAATTCCTTGAACTTTGGGGAAACGTCCTCTCTTAGAAATAAAGGCCAAAGCACAAAACTCTTGCAGAGGACAAACCTGGAAATTGTATCCTGTCGGGCCAGACTCCCTCACAGGTAGAGGTGGACTATATTAGCTATTTGAGGGCCACAGAAGGAAATAAAATCATCACGTTCACCTGGTGCTACAGTTTTACTGTTCTCGGTGCTTCATTTATTCAGGCTAGTGAGTCCAGATGTGGAATGGAAACAGCTCTGAGAATGCTGCCACTTTATGTTTTCAGTTACTGTCACAATTAGGTGGAGGTAGCTGACTCGGTCATTTCCAAAGAAAAGCTGCCCGAGAGGAGCTCATCTTAGAATGAGACATGCAAAAGCACCTAGGAATTGTAACTGCCTCAAAGGAGTTGCTCAAAAGTGTTATTTAAAAACAGAAGTGTGTGTGTGCATGAGCAAGTGAATGGATGAGACTCAGGAGGAGAGGAGTCACAGAGAACAGATCTGATAGAAACCAATAAGGGACTTGGACATCCTAGACTCCCATGAAACCAGATGTAGAAAGGATACTGGATAAAAATTTCACCCACTGGAAAGGTTTGCACCAAAGCTGTGTCTTGTGCCCTGTTCTGAACTTCCACATACCACAGAATACATAATTATGGGGGATAACTATGACTAAAGTATCTAATTTGTTTGTAGACCCTATATGTTTGAAGTGCTTGGAGAGGGTTATTTTTGAGTCAGGAGGTGCCCAAAAGCTATCACTGATAGTCTGATCTCCTTCCAACTCCTACAGACAATTCTCAGCTATTAGCCTCCCCAAACCACCAGATTTCTAGTATAATGTGAGCTTTCAGCACCAAAAAACAAAGAATATACAAAGAGACTTGTCTCAATTGTCCCACGTGTAAAATGAAGACTAAAAATAATTTCCTTGGAAAGTTGTGAGTTCTTAACTTACTAATTTAAGTATAGTGCTGAAGACAATTGAGGTGCCAAAGAATCATTAGATTCTCTTTTCTTTACCCCCAATCCAAGTGTGTAAATTTCCCAAAAGGAAAAAGAGAAGTGGTTTTGAGGAGCAGACCAAAACATTTAAGGTAACAGAAACAAATACCATGTCAGAGAGAAATGTTCTCCTACCTCCAGAGCAGGAGAATAAAGATAAGTTGAGAGGACTGAGGGGGAACAGAGTGCCCGAAGAGGAATAACAAGAAGTGATGGGAATGAGGGTAAAGGGGTCCTACAGGGAACACAGAGAAAACCATGAGAGAACAGAGAAAACATTACCTGGTTTCTGTCTTTTCCTGGCACTAAGTGCATCTTGTTGTTCTGAGTTGGTGGGCATGACTCTGAGCTCAGGAGAAATTCACAAGACAGAAAATGTTCCACAACATTGAATCATGTAAAGGGACGTTGCTTTTTCTATGGGAGACTTTTTGTGCATAAATAGAAATCTGTAAGCTCAATACTCAAAAGCCTCTGCAAATAAAGACATCAGAAACCTCTTCTAAACTTTGACAGCATTTTTACCCTTATCCCCTAATGTCTCCACAAAAAGACAAAGAAAAGCTTGAAAATTTCAAATTCCTAATAAGTAGTATAGCAATTCTTTCATACTTCCTCCAGCACAATTACACAGTCATTTCTTCACAAATCTCTCTCTGTGACTGTTACTACATTGCTAAAAGCACCTTCCTAACAAAGGAGGCTCAGGTGTAGCCATTCATAAGGGCTGTGGATAAAGGTGCCCAATAGGTTGGCAAGGTCTGACCTGAAAGCCCAGGGGATGTCTAGGTCCGTCCTGATTGTTGGGAAGCTCAGCCCCAAGCATACTTCGTACTCATTAGCTAAGAATGAGTACCGGAAGATCCCAGTGCGAATTCCCACTGAAACTCAGTGACTCACAGCCTACCATTAAATCATCTTGCTAATGTTTGTCATGAGTTTAATTATTATAGATAGTAAAGACATTTATTATTATAGAAACACTATCAGGTCTACAGTAATTTAAATTTTCCTACATATTTGACTTTGTTGCTTAGTTTTTTCTTCATCTGCAATTGCAAATTCAAAAGCTGAAACCAGATTGCAATGGATGAGTTTAACACAAATAAGACAGAGTTAAAAAGTATTAGTGAATCAGATAGGTCAGAAGAAAGTAAGAACTTCAATCTGAGAGTGTTTTCTTTCTCCTTTAAGAACTTGTTTTCATTTTTCCTTTAGTGAACGTCTTCTAATAATATATTTATCGCACCTTCATTCTTAAAGGACATAAAATTGTAATTTTTAAAATTCAGTACTTTGAAGATAATATTTCATTGTCCTCTGTCTCCTTGTTCATCTAATGTTTCTCCTGAAGTCAACTGTTAGTCTAATTCAGTGATTTCCAACTGATGTGCTGTAGCACACTGGTGTGCCTCAAGAATTTTTAAAACAAGCAATACCTGACTATTTAGTCAGGGGCACTGACCTTTTTGCCCGTAGATTATCAAATAAGAAAATGACAACAGCCAACACAACAATAGCCATCTGGTGTGAATGAGTAAAATTATATTGATTTTTTGTCAGATTGGCAAAAAATATAATAATTCTAGAGGCCCAGTGCATGAATTCGTGCACAGGGGAGTCCCTCGGCCTAGCCTGTGCCCTCTCTCAATCCAGGAACCCTCAGGGGATGTCTTATAGGCAGTTTCGGCTCGATCCCTGCAGGCCTGATCCAGACAGGAGGGAGCCTGATCCCTGCAGGCCTGATCCAGACAGGAGGGAGCCCAATCCTGTGCATTGAGCCTCTGTCCACTGGTGGACAGTGCGTGTCATAGCAACTGGTCATTCGGTTGGTTGGTCGCTTAGGCTTTTATATATATAGACTAGAGGCCCAATGCACAAAATTCGTGCAAGAGTAGGCCTTCCTTCCCCCAGCTGCCAGCACCGGCTTCCCTCTGGCACCCAGGACTCGGACTTCTCTCGCAGCCCCGGCTTTGTCCGGAAGGTCGTCTGGAAGGACATCCAGTCTAATTAGCATATTACACTTTTATTATTATAGATGTTATATGTGCTATGAGATGAAAAAGGTTGAAAATCTCTGGTCTAATTGTACTTCTCTGGAGTTAATTTGTCTTTTTTTTTCTCTTGCCACTTTCAGTATTATGTCCTTTGATTTAGTAATTTTATTATGATGTGAAAATGTGTGACTTTCTTTTTATTTATCATATTTGAAGTTTATTTATAGGACTTCTAGCATTTGTAATTAATATATAGTGTGTCCCAAAAATGTATACACACACTTTGAATAATTAAAAAGGCAGTGTTTATTAAAATACATTTCATTTTGTATTAAAATACATTTTAAAATTGAGCTATTAGCTGTTGAAGTATATATATATTTTTGGGGACACCCTGTATTTTTTTCAGTTTAGAAAAATTTCACCCATTATCTTATATATTGCCCCATTTTCCCGTCTATTACTCATTCTTTCTCTCTTCCTTGGAATTCCACGTACATGATGTGTATGACTCTGAGCTCAGGAAAAATTCACAAGA